CTACAGGTAGAGCCTAAGTATCTATCATTAAAATGTCTGATATTTGGTTTTGTCACCATCGTAAAACACATTACAGCTTTTTATATATATTTATCTTCTTGTAGTTTTAATGGAACTTAAGATAAAGTACAAATGGCACAACAGTCTAATACTTTTTACAGTTTCAGAAGTATATTGTTTGTTTTTTCCAATGTTGTCTCCTAATAACTTGCTTAGACTTTTTTTAATAGCATGGGTTCGATTGATAGCTGAAACGTTGGCTTGTGTGGTTATGAAACTGTCTTAATAATGAAGTTTTATTCCTTAACTGTGAAATTCCTCTACTGAATGTCGTGAAACCGTTCGGTATAAATTTAACTTTGGGGTTTTAGGTTTCTGGAATTATTAGTAGACAGAAAAGATCAAAAAGTTATTCAAAGGTATTACAGTAATCAGTTATTATGTGAAATAGCAAGTTGTAATAATATTAGTAATTTCCAGGTGTTGTGAGAGACCTCTTTATTATTGTACAAATCACTATAGCAAATGCTTTACTTTTATTCACAATGTTGTATTCAGCTTCTTGATGACGACAAAAATAGAAAGTCTTACCATTCCACTGATCCAAAAGAAAGTCTGGCTATTGATCCAAATGGAAGTATCATATTATCTACTGATGGAGAAGCTGTGGATGCGGGTGATGAAGGTACAACGGTGACCTCTGTTGGCATAGCCAAGTATCGGAAATATCTGTTTCCCCTCATCTCTTTCGTTCGTCTAGTGAAGAAAGGAAGCTACGTTGCCACTCTCATTATAATGATGGTAATGTTTACCTTTCTCTACACTTCTTGAGTGAGGATAAATTTTGTATCTGTCTTTGTATCTCTTTTATGAAATTAACTTTTGATAAATATTACACATTCTGAACTGTGTAAGTAGGATTTTTTTGGATCATTAAAATTACATTTTTTATTGTCTTTTAGTCTATTGAGTTTGTTTTTTATTGTCTTTTAGTTTATTGAGTAGGATTAAGTTTAGACCATTAAAGTTTGTATTTTATTGTTATTGAGTAGGATTAAGTTTAGACCATTAAAGTTTGTGTTTTATACTGTCTTGTAGTCTATTGAGTAGGATTAAGTTTAGACCATTAAAGTTTGTGTTTTATACTGTCTTGTTAGTCTATTGAGTAGGATTAAGTTTAGACCATTAAAGTTTGTGTTTTATACTGTCTTGTAGTCTATTGAGTAGGATTAAGTTTAGACCATTAAAGTTTGTGTTTTATACTGTTTGTTAGTCTTTACACTTTGAGACAGTTAAAAATTTACCTGGTCTAGGTACACCTGGTTGAGATGTACTGTACGAAATATTAAATGGTTCCATCATCACTCCTTCAGCTATATCTCTATTAGCTTCCTGTCGTTTTTCTTCCACGTACTGACGAAGTGTCACCCAGAACATGACAGTGTATAGTATCTATTAAGAGAAAGACAGTATTAGTCTAACAAGAAAAGATGTTGGTCTTAAAAGGTGTAGCTCTCAATGTTATAAAACACTATTTGCTTCAAGAATAAGGACTAGTCATTAAAAAGATTACAACATCAAATACAGGAATACCCACAGCTTCTCAATGTTTATTAGTCTCATTATTCTATTGTTAAAAACTGAAGAAAAATCCTATTTTCTTGAGCTATTCTATACTTTTGTTGGAGCACATCTTGTAAATCTACGGAGCTGATACAAAATAAAAGGCTAGATCACAATATTTCATTAAAGGTTTTCTCCACTAACTTGTATTGATGTTCACTGTGTACTATATAGTAAAAAATGAACTTACTTTGACAAGCAGAGGTTGGTACGAAAGATTGTAGTACTTCACTAGTCCAATCTGTGCTAGGTTAACTGTTTCAATCTTATCTGGCAACTCGGAGTCATTGAGATCGAGTCCGTATATGTACTGCATGACGAGTAAGGCCTCGGCATACAGAACGAGAAAAGGCGACGAACGTAAACATGCTTGACGAGAGTTCGGCATCATCCACAAAATGCAGGACCACAGCAGGAGGACAAAAGTCAACCAACTGTGGTACGTGATGCTCCAAGTCTACCACAGATGAAAATATAACTTCAATTACCACACTTAATTTCAACTAAAATAATTCTCTTCTTCAGAGCTTAAAGTAAATAATTTAGCATAATTGTTAAAAAAGAAACAACTTTCAACTTTAGAAAAGAGTAACACAATAATCACCTGTATTTCAGCCAGAGTAACACAGTAATCAACTAGATTTCAGCCAGAGTAACACAGTAATCAACTAGATTTCAGCCAGAGTAACACAGTAATCAACTAGATTTCAGCCAGAGTAACACAGTAATCAACTAGATTTCAGCCAGAGTAACACAATAATCACCTGTGTTTCAGCCAGGGTAACACAATAATCACCTGTGTTTCAGCCAGAGTAACACAGTAACCAGCTGAGCTTCAGCCAGAGTCACACAGCAACCAGCTGAGCTTCAGCCAGAGTCACACAGTAACCAGCCAGGACTACAAGAATGCATACAGGAAGATTATCCCAGAAATTCAAGCTACATAGTGACCAGCTGAGTTTCAACCAGCCAGGACTACAAGAATGCATACAGGGAGATTATCCCAGAAATTCAAGCTACATAGTAACCAGCTGAGTTTCAACCAGCCAGGACTACAAGAATGCATACAGGGAGATTATCCCAGAAATTCAAGCTACATAGTAACCAGTTGGGTTTCAACCAGCCAGGACTACAAGAATGCAGACAGGAGGATCACCCTAGAAACCCATATTTCTGAAGAAATGCTAGACCTGAAATATTGTACTAAAGCCTTAAACTGAATAGTGATATCCTGAAACTCTTGTAGCCGCTATTGTTGAGATTACATAACACTGTGATATAATTTCTCCCATCTAGACATCAACTTAATAATGATATTGTTAGTAACGAGGATGATAAGATTAACTGGCTGAAGATCAGCTGGTTACTGTGTTACCCTGGCTGAAGATCAGCTGGTTACTGTGTTACTCTGGCTGAAATCTAGTTGATTACTGCATTACTCTGGCTGAAACCCAACTGATACTGTGTTATTCTGGCTGAAGATCAGCTGGTTACTGCGTTACTCTGGCTGAAACCCACCAGGTTACTGTGTTACTCTGGCTGAAGATCAGCTGGTTACTGTGTTACTCTGGCTGAAGATCAGCTGGTTACTGTGTTACTCTGGCTGAAACCCAACTGATTACTGCATTATTCTGGCTGAAACCCACCAGGTTACTGTGTTACTCTGGCTGAAACCCAACTGATTACTGCGTTATTCTGGCTGAAACCCACCAGGTTACTGTGTTACTCTTACCTTCTAAGCAGAATACCTTAGCTGATCACTTGTTTCCTACTGTGTAAACACCTTTTAAATATAATTCCATTAATCTCTTTTTAAATTAATTCATTGTAATAATAATCTTATTTTATGTTAGCTTTATTAGTTTTCTAAGTTATTTGTATAATGAAAGATGTCAGATGCCTTCTGTTAAATACTGCTGACTTTGATACCAGTTCTAGCAATATTATTATTGTGTAAAAACACTTGAAGAACTTGTATTAAACAGTTTTTTTGTGATTTGTACTAAGCTTGAAATAATTTATTTAAGCAGATTTCCGACGTCAGATGAGTGTGGCCACTTCTCCAACAACACGAGGCAGTCCGTATATAAGTAGACTGGGGGATATCGTAAAACATCTTTTAACGAAGTATTGGATATGGATCGTGGCTTGCATGTTGATGGTGATATCTCTGGGTGGTGACGAGGTGGTCATGTACAGGGTTGCATACATGTTTTTGTTTCTCTTCTTCATTCTTATGTTTCAGGTATGGATTGGAACAATGTAGGGTACATGAATAACGATACATTTCTTAGATTGCGTAATTAGAAGTAGTTCGTTAAGGGTTTAGAAAGGGTCACTGGGTACATATTTACACGTATTCTGTAAATCATAATATATATTTGTCAAACCCGTTCTTAGTTCAAGTTCTTGGAAGTGTGTTGAAAATAACAAGTTTCACATTGTGTGTGTGGTGAATGTAATATTTCTTCCAGTTATTTTATGTTTGATCATTCATTAACAGTTGTTGTCAAATATGCCGTTACTTTCAGTTCTCTTACGGCCTTTGGCGGAGGATCATGTACGGTTTTTGGTTGACAGTCATCGTTTACTCGATGTTAGTATTGATTTTTATCTATACTTATCAGTTTGAAAACTTTGAGAACTACTGGGAAGACTACCTAGGAGTACCTTTGCAGTTGTAAGTTTGTTTCAAAGAACGTTAACCTATCTTTTATTATTTAACTCTTAAGTATGAAGTGAGTAGTACAATCCACAAAAATATACTTACTGTAACTCTGAATGTACTGAACGTTTCACAAAATTTGGCAAGCGTTTAGTAAACATTAAAAGTCTGTTAAACATACATTTTTTTTTTTATGTAGTAGTTTAACTGTATATTTGTAAACTTATAGTGCCTTTACTGGTTCAGTCAGAGTGAAACATAATTTTCATGGTAATAAGACTTATTTTTCTATTTCGTAACGTGTAGAACCTCTATAAATGAATACCAAAACTACTATATATTAATCTGTTGTTTTCTCTATCCTAACACTAACTGTGGTAATATCATCAGTGTACGTTGAGTTCAAATAAAATAAATACTAAAATTTTTTTTGTCTCTAGAATTACAACAGTTATTTATTAGCTTTTTACCTTTTAACATCTGCTTGCTTTTAATTATGTCTCCACAGACAGACGTACTATTTTTTTATTCTTTCTTCTTCTTCCAAACACGTTTCATTGACCACCACTCGGCAGATTCACTTGAAACTCGTTAGGGTTA